GACAGTGGCTCCTGCCTTGCCAGGACACCGAGTGCCCCTGAACCTAACCCTCTGCAAAGCAGAGACAGAGTTGGGGGACACACCAGCCCCCACCCATCACCTTAACTCTGCCCCGTGGAGGTGGCAAGAGCCCCTGGGGATATGCTGCTACCTGCTTGCTAGGCTGTGTGAGTTCTGAAAGGGTGAAAGGCCCCGCATGCTGGCAGGGGGGTCCCCATGGACTTGGCTCGGCATTGCAAAGGATTTAAAAGAAATCCTGGCTTGTCCCTTGCTCTCACCCCCTGGCCCAGCCCCACTGCCCTGGTAGGGCCCTGCAGATTCCCCCAGCCATACTGTTCCATCGAGGGCCAGGCCCCTCCAGCTGTGTGCAGTGCCACGGCTCCTGCCACAAGCCATCAGAGCTGCTTCTGCCCCTGCCAGCAAGGTGTCTCCCACCCCAGCCTCTGCAGCCTCTATTGGGTCTAGCAGGAAGATCAGAGAGCTCACTGCCCCATGGCCTGAGTCTCAGAGAGAGCACCCGGCAACATTCCCAGCATGCAAAGAGCCACAATCAGAACCCACAGCGGATTGCAGGCTGCCAGCCCAGCTCTGATTGCATCCGTAAACCTGGCTTCACAGTGCAGGGCTGCTGGGGGAAGGCAGGAAGGCCCCCAGGAAAGCGAGGGGCTGGTAGCTCAGCCTGGGAGAGAGAGGAGGAGCCCAGTAATGCCACCAGTGCCCGGGTGTGTGCCAGCACTGGAGCTATCACTGTTCTACCCAAAGGCCTTGGCATCTTGCAGCCCGTGGCTGGCGTTTGCTCCACCGCAGGCAGTCAGTGGCATTTCCCTGCCCTAGCCAAGCATCATGTTCTCATCCCAGAGGAGAAATTACTCAGGGTAACCGAGCAGCGGCCCGGGGCTGCTGTTAGCGCTGGCCGAGGGAGGTCAGGTGCCATTCGTAAAGCTCAGCTCCCCGCGTGGCAGAGAGGACACGTGGGCAGGGGCTTTATTAGCTGCTGTCATCCTGGGGGGCGCAAACCCCAAGTCAAAGCCATAATTGCTTAGGTCTTTTTAGCTGGAAAACTGACATTTTGGCACCTTTGGAAGCTATTAATTGACTGTGCGTAGTTAACATTGCTCCAGGCTTGCTAGCTCAGGGGCACTGTGGGTGGGGACAAGACAGAGCTACTCCAGTCCCAGCCTTGTCCAGCAAGGAGGGCTGGAGGAAATGGCACCGTCTATGCCAATCCCAGCTTTTGCCAGTAGGAGGCGCTGTAGGAAAGCCAGCTGATGACGGCTCGCAGCTGCTTCAGCCTCTGTCTGTAGGGAATGGCCAAGCAATGCTGGACTGAAAGCCCAGGCTCCCCCCTACAGGGGCTGATCTATGGCCCGGCTCTGTGGTATTCACAACTGTCACTTCCAATAGGAGGAGCATGGGTTGTGGGTAGCACCCACAGCCAGGGCCGGCTCCAGGCACCAGCCTGGCAAGCAGGTGCTTGGGGCAGCTGCTCCAGAGAGGGGCGGCACGTCCAGCTATTCGGCGGCAATTCGGCGGACGGTCCCTCACTCCCGCTCGGAGCGAAGGACCTCCCACCGAATTGCCGCCGCCGATCGCGATCGTGGGTTTTTTTTTTTTTTGGCTGCTTGGGGCGGCCAAAACCCTGGAGCCGACCCTGCCCACAGCTACCCCGCTGCCAGCCTCTCCCAGCAGCTCACGGCAGAGCAACACAGCCCTGGCTTTGCTCTTGGGCCAGTCTGATCAGGCGACAGTCTAACCTGGGGCATGAGCCAGAGCTGAGACGATGCTTTCAGTCCAACTCCATAGGCATTGCCGGGACCACATTCTGTTCACTTGTTGGCACGCTCTAACACAGGGTTGGCACGCTCTAACACAGGGTGCCAGGCGCAGGAAGGGAAAGGGAGCCTGGAGCTTTAAGGTGGCGGTTTAAGGAGCTTTAAGGTTTCTCCCCCCACCCATCTGGCCTGGAGGCTGCTGACAGGGTTCTGATTGCCAGCGAGGCAGGTGAGGGGCAGGGGTAGAGGGGTGAAGTGGCAGCAGCCTTGGACCCAAGAGTGGTATGGAGCCTAGTGTGTTTGGGTCTGGGTGAGCTGCAAGGGTCTGGCCACTAGGGGGACACATGGCGCTGCACTCCACTAATGCAGGATAAGCCATGGGAGCTGTCCCCAGGGGTGATGCCGTGGGCCTTCAGGGTGCAGCGGCTATGAAGGGAGCCCTCTGGTGGGTGCGGTTATGTTGGGTGCTTGGGTGACTGGTGGGTGCGGGCGTGTCTGTTGGATGACTGCTGGGTGTGGGTGAGTTGGATGGTTGGTTGACTGGTGGGTGCGGTTATTTTGGGGGTAGGGTAACTGACAGATGTGGGAGTGATGATTGGTGGGGCAGCTGGCGGGTGCAGGCATATCGCGTGGTTGGGTGACTGGTGGGTGTGGGCGAGACAGGTGGTTGGGTGACTGGTGGGTGCGGTTATGTTGGGTGGTTGGGTGACTGGCGGGTGCAGGTGAATGGGTGACTGGCAGGTGTGGTTATGTTGGGGGTAGGGTAACTGACAGATGTGGGAGTGTCGGTGGGGCAGCTGGCGTATGTGGGCATGTCGGGTGTTTGGGTGACTGACGGGTGTGGGCGAGTCGAGTGGTTGGGTGACTGGCAGTTGTGGGTGAGTCGGGTGGTTGGGTGACTGGCGGACATGTTGGGCAGTAGGGTGATAGGTGGGTGTGGGCATGTTGGGGTAGGTGGCTTGCCTGCCTGTTGCTTGGGCATTCTTTGCCATGGAAGGAATATTGGTCCTTGGCCAGATTCCCGGTTGGGGCTTCTCCTCCGCCCTGCACTGGCCCTGCAGTTTCAGCTGGCTGAGGGATTCCAAACTGCTATGTGCAATTGCTGTGTGCCATTAAACAGCTGGCATGCTCCGCCCCAGAGGTGGCTGCATTTCAGCAGAGGGGGCTGGGATTGTTTCCCAATATTACCATATTGTCAGGACTATTACTGCAGCACTGGGGCTGGAATACCCCAGCCCTGTAGAATTGCTGCGGCTGGGTGCTCCTGCACTCTGCTAAACTGGGTAATCTCCATAGTCCAGGTGCAGGGGCCCCTGCCTGTGGGGAGGAGTGACTGCATGTGCCCCCTGCTGGTTGGGCTGGGTGTTACAAGGGAGAGCAGGAGGAGGCTAATGCTGCCTGCTCAGTCACGGTCTAACGCATGGTGGGTTCGAACACCCTTTTCCAGCCTCTCACTCAGTAGTCAGGCCAACCCTTCCCTCCAGGCCTGTGGAACCAACTCGGGCCATCTACACACAGCCAGCCTCTCGCTCAGGTGTTCTTACCCTGGCCTCACCACCCAACATTGGCTCTCCAGAGAGTGTCCCAGGGCTGTGGGGTTGGCTGGGTTTGGCTCCCCGCTCTGGACCTTGCAGCCTGCTGTGCGGGGTCATGGGGCTGCTCAGGTTTGGCCCGGCCACCCCTCTGTCTTGATGGCGGGGGGGCCATCTGGGCCAAGTGTGAGGGAGTGCCACTGCCACCCGTGCGCCAGGTTGCAACACCGCCCACGGCTGAGCCAAACCTTAGCGGTGCTGTGGCCTTGGAGCTCGCAACCCCCAGAGTGGGGAGCCGAGCTCTGCCAGCCTCACGGGCTGGGCCAGGAGGGAGCGGCTGGTGTCATGTTCCCCTGTATGTACCGGCCCTTTGGTGTTCCCCCTGCCCTGCAGCTGGGTGACACCCCATCTTCCATATCCGCTGTCCCGGGCACCCTGATGTTCCCTCCACTGCACAGCCAGGCTCCTCCCCCACTGCACCCCAGCTCTTCAGCCCCCCAACTCCTCCCAGCCCCCCACTTTACCCCCAGAACCTAAACTGCCCCCAACCCAGGGGCCATGTGTGGGAGGTTCTGCTTTTTGGGTAACTATCAGCTTGCCAACCCTCTGCCCCCAGATCCTTCCCCCAGTCCCTCACTGTATCCCTATATCCCTCTGCCCCCCAGTTCCTTCCCCAGCACTCCCAGAACCATTAATTCCTTCCTGACTGCACCCCTCAATCTCTCCACTCCACTCCCAGGCCCTCAAATCCCCCCATCCCTTATCCTCTGCCCTCCATGAGCTGGGGGGTTGTTTGTTTTGGGGTGTCTTGACTTGCCCCTCCCCCCAGTTGCAGATGTGTGGGGTGGTCCCCAGCTGTTCATATCTGGCTGGAGCATCTGGAATCTTTGCTCCGAGACCCCTTGGATGGACCTCTGAGGGTGCATCGGGTCTGGGGGCATCTCAGGGGGTCTCTGGGGTGTGACAGGCCAGCCAGGTTTGCAGATAGGTCCTGAGCCCCAAAAGGCTGAGAATCGCTTCCCTAGCTGCTGTCACACCCTCGTGTGGGCTGGCCAGTGGAGGGCCCCTGACTCCCACCACCTGGGCCGTGCCATGTGTCACACTCACTCCATGGGGGCGAGGAGGGTTAAATACTTCAGAGGAAAGTTTCCTCTGCCTCTGCTGCCTGGCTGCCCAGGGGACCAGCCCAGCGCCCTGCAAGAGGCTGTGCGCTTGTCCTGCTGCACCCGCTTTGCCCTGTGTATGTTCCCCGGGCACAGCAGGGTGGCATGGGCCCATGTTCCTGCCATGTGAAAGCGAGCCTTCTCTTCCTCAGTAATGGGAGTGAGGCAGGATTCCTTCCTGGCCTGCGACGCAGGAGGGTGAGGGCAGGATCCCGGGCACGAGGGGTGCCAGCGGCGCTGCCCGGGGGCCGAGGCACCTGTGCCACATCCCTGGACTTGCCTCTTTGTCTGCAATCCCTGTGTTTGCCGTGCAGGGCCAGCAGTGTTTGGAGCAGCACCCGAGCCCCAGCTGCACAGTGCTGACGTAACCATGATGCTGGCTGCCTTTTAGAGGCCAGGGACTCGGTTGCCTGGAAACAGCAGAAGATACTCTCCAGCCTGGATCTCAGCCCTGACGTCAAGGCCTGACGCTGCCTGGATGCCTGGCTCGCTCTTTCCAGGCCGCCTGGTGTCATGGAGGGGAGAGGCCTAGCCTGACAGAGGAGTGCCCGGGAACCACGAAGCAAATGGTGAGCAGGGCGTGGCAGAGGGACGGGCAGGCAAGCGGGAGCCCCAGCCCAGCGCAGCGACGGCCACCGGGCTGCTGCTGTGGGGGAAAGCCCAGGGGTGCGGGCGTTGGAAAGCAGCATGGAGGGAAACAAGGGGTGAATGTGGGGAGGGGTCAACCCAAGGCTCATGGCGCTCTGGCTCCCCCAGCCTCCCAGCGCGAAGAGATGGTGCTGAGGTGGGGGGGCACAGTCAGGGGTGTTGTGGACAAGTGAGGCTGTCGGGGCTCAGAGCACAAGATCAGGGGTTCCCAGAGAGCAGCTGGCTTGGCAAAGGACATCAGGCCAGGGCTGTGTGCCAGCCACACAGATGGGCATGGCTTGCCATTTGGGGTGTGGCTTCTTTGTACTTTCTTCTCTCTGTCTCTTTCTATCTATCTCGTTCCTCCCTCCCGGCCTCTTCCATACTGTCTTTTCTTGCCTATCTCTTTATCTTTCTGACTGTTTTCCATCTTTCTTGTTTTCGTTGCTCAGTGGCCAAAGAGGGTCCATCTCACTCCTCCCTTGCCGCCTGTTTTCTGTCCCTCACTCTGTTTTCCTTTCCCCTTTTTATCCTTCCTTCCTTTCTCCTAACCTGACTGTTATCTCTGAGGCATTGGGAATCTGGCCCTTGGAATTTCTCCCTGGAGAAACTGGGCTTAGACCTGGCTCCTAACCACAGGGCCTCTAGCAGCCACCATGGGAAGAAGAGTACCCCAATGCAGGGAGGGAATGGTGGGCTTGCAAATGTCCCAGAGCACTTGGATGGGGGCTCCTGGCTCTGAAGATATGAAGGGCCCGATTCTGCTCTGCAGTACTCCCAAGCCTGTTTTCCCCCTCTCTAAATACAATTGGTCTGTTCTATGTTTGTACGGCACCTAGCATCAAGCTTCATGCCTAGGGCTCTAGGGGCTTCGGTAAATAATAATAAAATAATTGGCACGGCTTTTTTCTGCTTCCCTGGTCCATCACTGTATTGTTAATTAAGAACTCTAATAATTAGTAACACATTTCTATTAAGTAGCATCTAAAGATGCCAGTTGAGAGCAGGGCCCCATTGTGCTTGGCACTGTAAGCACAGAGAGTAAGAGGTGGTCCCAAACCCGGAGCGTGTACAATCTCAGTCAACAGGATAGACACAAGGTGTCATTGCTGTATGTACTTGAGAGGGAAAACAATGCAGCCATTTCTTTAAAGGAGACCCGCACAAGCAGTGTGGCTTGTGTCATTTTTGATTCCTATGTGGTGCATCCACATGGCCCCAAAGTTCATTTTATTCTTTTACACTTTTTTGCTGCTTGGTTTTGCTATTTTCAAAGCTCAGGTCTGGTCTCTCCTGTTTGTCCATCTATGGATGACAAAGAGTAAGTAGGTCCAGTGAAAGATATCACCTCACCAACCTTGTCTCTCATATCGCTTAACAAAGGAAGGTTAAAAGGTGGCTTGATTACAGCCTATATGGGGAACAAATATTTAATAGTGGGCTCTTTGGTCTAGCAGAGGAAGGTCTAACACGATCCAATGGCTGGAAGTTGAGGTGAGACACATTCAGACTAGCAATAAAGGGTAAATTTGTAACAGTGAGGGGAATTAACCACTGGGACAGTTTACCAAGGGACATGGTGGATTCTAGGAATTATTTTGGGGCAGTTCTCTGGCCTGTGCTATACAGGAGGTCAGACTAGCTGATCACAGTGGTCCATTCTGGGCTTGGAATCTGTGACTGGCAGGTGACATTACAGACACCTGGCAACATTTTCAAATGCACCTAGGTGACTTAGGAGCCTAAGTTCCATTGATTTGAATGGGGTGTAGGCTTCCAGGTGACACAGATGCTTTAAAAATGTTGCCCCTGCCCCCCGATTAATGGAGAAGAGAGGTTAATTTAATGCCAATATTTTGCTGAGCACTCGCTGGTGGTGTGCGGAGAGCTGGCTGGTCCCACAATGCTGGTTCCTCCTTGCTATTTCCAGCAGATAAATTGCATCAAAAGAAGCTAAAAATACATTGAATGCTTCCCTAATATCATTCTTCCATGTTAGTGAACGTTGTAGCTGCCAGGGGCCTGGGAGCTGGGCTGGGCTATGGGGAGTGTTTGGGTGACAGTCTCATGAGGGATGATGAGGGATGAGTACAGTGAAAGAACTAGAATAGAGCAGTATTAGCATGTGGCCCACGGTGGGAAAACTGGAGAGAACCCCTGGTTTCAAATTCTGGGTCTTTTGTTAACTTTCAATTCACTCAAACACCTGACAAACTGGTGGGAGAAAAGCTCTTTTGTTAAAGGTCCAGCAGCCCCATCTAGCTAAGGACTGAGTGAGTTCCCAGTCCCCATCTCTGGCTCCCCAGAGAAGGACCTCCTGCCCTATAGGGGAAATACGGCAGGCCATTCCTGAGACCCTCATATAAAAACAAGCTGCACTCTCTCTCCCCTTATGGAAAACAAGCCACAATCTGGCCTCCTGTAGCCACTGGGAAGGGTCAGGAAAGGGCAGAGGCCCCTCAGTAGCTGATCTGGTCTGGACACGTGTGTGGAGGGGAAGCGCTATCACCGGTTGGCCAGTGGGACCAGGTCAGAGCTGTGCCCTGGCTCACTGCCTGGGGAGGATGGCCCAGTGGGTAGGGCACCGGAGGGGACCTCAGCAGACCTGCAGTCAGTTTCCCGTTCAGCCACAAGTGACACTGGGCAAGCATCTTCCTCTCCCCAAGCCTGGGGTTTGCTAGAAGCTGGGGATGTACAGTTGGAAGTGACAGAGGAGGAGAAAGACCTGGGTGTATTGGTTGATCACAGGATGACTGTGAGCTGTCAATGTGATGCAGCCGTGAAAAAGGCTAATGCAGTTCTAGGACGCATCAGGCGAGGTATTTCCAGTAGACACAGGGAGGTGTTAGTATCATTATACAAGGCACTGGTGAGACCTCATCTGGAATACTGTGTGCAATGCTCATCTCCCAGGCTTAGGGAAGATGAATTCAAACTGGAACAGATGCAGAGAAGGGCTCCTAGGATGTTGTGAGGAATGGAAAACTTACCTTACGGGAGGAGACTCGAAGAGCTTGGCTTGTTTAGCCTGACCAAACGAAAGCTGAGGGGAGATAGGATTGCTCCCTATAAATACATCAGAGGATAAATACCAGGGAGGGAGAGGAGTTATTTAAGTTAAATGCCAATGCTGACACAAGAACAAATGGCTATAAACTGGCCAGCAACAATGTGACGGTGCTGCCCGTGGGAGCCAGCTGAGGTCTCAATTAGGATGAACTGCAAACAAAACGGGGCAGACAAACCCCAAATGCTGGTGGATATTCCGGTACTTAGTTTACCAACCCAGCACAGAACAGCTTTTATAGTACCTCACTGGTTACTCAGAAGTCCAAACAATGCAGTTCCCTTAAAGTACCCAGCCTCAGGCCTCCATCCAGACACACGTATCAAACATATAATGATGATTACTGAAAATCTTATCTCATCATATAAAAGAATAGTTTCTTCCAATCCCAAAGGATCAGCCACATAGCCAGGTTCAATTATAACTTAGATCTTACCCAAAATACACGCTATAGTCAATTTTTATTAACTAAACTAAAATTTATTAAAAAAGAAAAGAGAGTGAGTGTTGGTTAAAAGATCAATATACATACAGACTTGAATTCAATTCTTGAGGTTCAGATACATAGCAGAGATGAGCTTGTAGTTGCCAAAAGTCCTTTTAGAAATAGTCCAGAGGTTATAGTCCAATGTCCATATTCAGGGTGGCTCCAGTCAATGACTGGGGATCTCAATCCTTGTGGCTTAAGGTTTCCCCCTCTTGAAACCCAAAGCAGATCTGAGATGAAGTAGGATCGTGTCCCAAAGTTCTTATACATTTCCAGCAGCCTTTTGGCCTGAGAAAACAATAGGCTTAACTCTCCGTCTCCCAAACATCCTGGCAATTAGCACAGGGTAATTTATCCATTAAACAATTCAGATACAGGTTACCACAACCTTCAAAGAGACACATAGACAATAATACTATTTCACTCAAGTATCTTCCTAAATGTTAATATTCCTTTTTTGATCTTTGAATCAAAGCTATAGCAATAGACAAGACTTGTTTGCTTATATCACAAGACCTGAGCAAACATCTACCCTTCTACCTCTAACAATGCAGACTTGCATTTCATTTACATATCTTCCTAACCAGTCTCTAAAGTTTGGCCATGGGTCAGGTCAGTCTGTGAGTTAATTAACTCTTTCTGGCCCTGTCATCTTTCAATGAGATATTATATTACACTCATAATGTCACAAACAAGTTTAGGCTTGAAATTAGACAAAGGTTTCTAACCCTCAGAGGAGTGAAGTTCTGGAACAGCCTGCCAAGGGAAGCAGTGGGGGCAAAAAACCTAACTGGCTTCAAGGCTGAACTTGATAAGTTTATGGAGACATGGGGCAGCCTACAATAGCATATGGCCCATTGGTGACTGCTAGCAGCAGATATCCCCAATGGCTGGTGATGGGACACTAGATGGGCAGGGCTCTGAGTTACTACAGTCTGGCTAGGGGTCTTGACCACATGCTCAGGCTTCAATTGATAACCATGTTTGGGGTCAGGAAGGAATTTCTCCCTAGGTCAGATTGGCCAAGACCCACGAGGTTTTTTTTTTTTTGCCTTCCTCTGAAGCATGGGTCACTTGCAGGTTTATACTAGTGTAAATGGTGGAGTCTCTTTAACTTGGAGTCTTTATACCATGATTTGAGGACTTCAGTAACTCAGCTAGAGGTTAGGGGTCTGTCACAGGAGTAGGTGGGTGAGATGCTGTGGCCTGTGATGTGCAGGAGGTCAGACTAGATGATCATTCTTGATGGTCCCTTTTGACCTTAAAGTCTGTCAGTCTATAAACTGTAACCTGGGGTACTAGCCCCTCCTCCAACGGGCTGATGCGAGACCCCACGAATGGCTCTGAGGTGCTCAGATGTTCCGGAGATGAAGGCCATGCCAGTACATAGACAGAGCCCACTTCGGTCCCCTCTGCCCTGGCCTGGCAAACTGACCCTTCTGCTCTGAGCTGGGTGCGAGCGAGATGGCCATGGACCCAAGGCTCCGGCTGTGGCTTGTAAACACTAACAACAGCCTCTTCTCACAGGACATCAAAGGCCAGTACTGGACTGACGATGATTCGGATGGAGACAATGAGTCGGAGGAATTCCTCTATGGAGTCCAGGTAAGAAGCTGGGTGACCCGCCGGCTGCCCCTGGGGGCCATGGTGCAGTGCTGAAACCAGCGTGGCAGAGTTCGAGGACCTCTGCTGTGTGCCAGGGCAGCATATCCAGTGGGATTGGCACGGGAAATTCGGTGGGGAGTGATGGGAGTGATGTGACCCGTCGGTCCCCTGTGCCCCGGGGAGCCATGCTCACACACTGCTGGGACCCTGGACTCAAGCTCTCAGCTGGTGCAAACCTATCCAGCTCCACGGACTGACAGCAGCGCCCCAGGGCCACTGGCTCCCAGAGCCGCTGAGCGTCTGGCCCTTGGCTAGAACTGGCAGTGTCCAGGAGGCCGTGTTGTGCCTGTGCCTTTCCCTGTCCTGGGGAGACCTTGGTGGACAGCTTGGTTGGGAGCACAGCACCCGCCTTTCTGCAAGGGGCCACGGGCGTGGAGCCTTTTAGTTCAGCGTTTTCCAGGTTCCTGCCAATGGCCCTCCCTGCAGACTGGCAGTGCCCTGGCACCCCTCCACTGGGCGGCAGAGCCCTGGGGGCATGCTGGGGGGTGCTACTGACAGTTCTTCAATAGCACCCCAGTGCGTCCTGCTGGGATCTGGTCATAGGTGACTGGGGCGTGAGAACTGCCTCTGCCTTCTCCCCAGGAGAGCGCGCTGGGGTGGCCTCTCCCACTCGTTCTGACTGCAGCGGACGTCAGTGTCTGGAGCTGTGACAGTCTCACTGCACGGCTGGGAGGCAGGTGTGGCGATGCCCCTCAGTCCTCCTCCACAGCCCCCGCTGCCAGGAAATCCTGGGCCTCTGCCAGCTCACCTCAAGCCTGAGCTAAACCCTGGCCCCTGCTCCCCTCCCCCCAGCTCTGCCAGTGCACCTTAGTCCCAACCTGCAGCCCCCACTGCTATCTGCCTAGCTGGGGCCCAGCACACTCATGCTGGCTGTAGCCCGTCTGAACTCCCTCCCGTCCCGCTCCGGCGGTGTGTTGCAGGGGACCTGCGCAGCGGATCTGTACCGACACCCGCAGCTGGATGCCGACATTGAGTCGGTGAAGGAGATCTACAGCGAGAACTCTGTGTCCGTCAGGTGCGTAGGGCGGACGGGACTCAGCCCCAGGCAGCAGCTTCCTCCTGGCTGCCCCATGGGGGCTGCACTGACTGAGCCACTCTCCTCTCTGCACTGGTGAGCGGAGATCACAGCTTGTCCATAGAGGGCAGCACGTTCCCTGCATCTCCTTGCTGGGATGCCAGGATGGGGACTACCCAGAGTCCCTGCCTATGCCTCAGAGATGGGGAGAGGATCTACACTGAGACAAGAATCTGAGCTGCCAGGATGGGAAGGTGCAGAAAACCCACCTAAAACGCTGATTGGTGCTGGGATCTGCACCCCAAGCTTATATAGGAGCTTGTCGCAAAGGGCTGAGATGGTGCCAGCTTTGCTGTGAACCATGTTCCCTTGGTGAGGGTATGAATGGCCCAATTAGAAGTAGAGACAGGTCCAGGCTGCATTTGGATGGGGGGTTGGTCTGGACCCCTCTCTAGTCAGAGGGAAAAGAGTCATAGCCATGAACAGTCTTCAGATATGTTGAAGGTTATAAAGAGGAGGGTGATCAGTTGTTCTTCGTGTCCGCTCAAGGTAGGACAAGACGAAATGGGCTTAATCTGCATCGAGATTTAGGTTAGATATTAGGAAGAACTTTCTAAGGGTAGTTAAGCTCTGGAGCTTTGTAAGACCAGGCCAGACAAACCCATCAGGGATGGTTGAGATTTCCTTGGTCCTGCCTCAGGGCTGGAGCTAGGCTGTGGCTCGCCAGGCTGCTGCACCCCAGAGACTCAGGTCCCTCTCCCATTTCCCCCTTGCTCTGAGGAGGGGAGTACTTGACTACAGGCCTTGCCATGGAGCAGCTCGCTCCCCCTCCCTGTGCTCCTCTGACTGCTAAGTGGGGTTGGGGAGCCAGGGCCATGCCCACCCCTTGCCCCGGCTGCCAGCTCTAATCACAGCCCTAGGCTGAGGGGAGCCGTTGGCAGTGCCACAGAGCAGGACTCGGGGCAGTTCTCCTTGCCCTGGACTCATTTGTGCTCTCAGCTCCTCCACTGCCCTGCACGTCAGCCAAGCTGCCCGGTGTGGAGGGCGAAAGCCTCACCTTGCATGTGGCCCAGGCACGTGGACAGTTCTGCTGGGCATGGGGGGGAGGGGAAGAGGGCTGCCTGGTGCCTCCCTGCCCAAGCTGCAAGCCCCTGCTGAACTGAATTTCACTCCCAGGGCGGTGATGCCCAGAGCCATCTGCCTGAATCCTGTCCCTGGCTGTGCAGTGGGGCTGAATCAGCCAGCACCCTCTGGAGCCATGGGCCTGCGTGGGCAGGAGCTGGCCCTGAGATCACAGCATAGCCCCCTCCCTGAGAGGGGCAGGCACCTGCGGGGAGATGGGAAAGCCACTGAGTGCCAGCCGAGCGGGGCCCCACCACTCGCCTCCTGCTTAAATACAGGGAAAGATGCAGGGGTTCTTGCTCCCCCACTCTGTGAGCAGCAGGAGCCGGGAAGGCTGGAAAAGGGGAGGAGGGTGGGACCAGCCTGAGGAGGCATCATGGCGGCCTGGGGGGAGCCTGCTGTTCTTCCCTTGGTGAAGCAGAACAGCAGTTAGGCCGGCGGGGCCATTTGCCCAGGGAGAGCCCCAAACGCTTCTCAAATGCGTCTAACCCAGGGGCCAGGCGCTAAGAGCCGAGTGGGCGGATCCATCAGGACTGTGTGGCTGGGCCGGAGGCCCCCGATTCTGCGAGATTTCCTTCCAGACCTAGCTAGAGTATACGGGGCGTCTCCCCTGCGGGGGGAGGTTGGGGAGGCGATGAAAGCAGCGTCCCCTGGGGAACGGCCGTTACAAAGAGCCAGTCCCATCTCTGCCTAGAACCTTCTAGCACCTTTCGCTGGCCTAAGTGCCGTGCAGCGCAGTGGGGGCCCATCTCTGTGCTGGGGTGTTGGGGAGGCAGGCGTTACGCCTGACCCAGGCTGGGGAGTCCAGCCAAGTGTGACCGATGTGCTGGGGAGCTGAGCGAAGGCAGAGGCCCAGGAGTGCCAACTGCCATCGATCCCTTCGGACTCACTCCCCCACCCCCGGGGATTGGCCAGATGGCTTTGGGGAGCACGGCGCACCAGGCCCAGATTGCATGAAGCCCCTTTCCGGGGCAGTAAGGAAGGGAGATGCTTTGGTCCCCCTGCATGCATGACCAAGGCCAGGCAAGCTCTGGCCCTGTGACTGTCCCTAGCCCCGTGTCTGAGACCTGGAAACCTCCAAGGGGTATGGGTCCTTTAGGAACAGGCATCTCTTCTGGATCGGGATGTCACGAGGAGGGTCAGGCTTGAGCCAGGAGGTTTGGGGACCAGCACAGATCTGAGTTTGGGGTGCTTGGGTGGGGGCTGTGATTTGGCCCAATATAGAGACTGGAGGTGGGCCTGAACTGAGACCCCTGGGCTTTTGGGTGTGGCTGTGGAGTTTGCACCCTGCCTCCATCTCTAATAGAGACGGGGGCTTGTGCAGTTTGGATCCGGATCTACGAGCTTTGGGGTGGGAGAGAGGGGGGGTCGGACCCAGCGTTCCAGTTCTCCTCCATCCCGAGTGAACGTGTTTGCTGCTGGTGGGAGAGGTTGAGGCTCTTGGTTCCCATATCAGTCCACCCTGGAGGCGACTGGCGAGCCCCTGGCCCAGGAACATGCCCCTGCCCATGGGAGCTGTCTGGAGCAGGGGCTGCCTTTTCCTGACTTGTCTGTAACGCAGGATGGCTCTGATCCCTGAGTGGGGCCCCTAGGTCCTACTGCCATGCAAATACCACCAGCAATCCAGGATGGGATTGTGTCCCATGGGAGCATGGCCAGGATCAGCCAACGGGGGCCTGGCCACCTGTGCCCCAGACAGTTGTGGGGGGCTGTGGGCCAGCAGGCACTCGATGGAGGTGAGTAACTGGTTGCTTGCAGCAGGGCTGAGTGGAAGGGCTTTGTGATCATTATTAATTATTGGGAGCACCTATTGGCCCAGGCCTGGCAGAGAGCCCTGGGGTGCTAGGAGCTGTACGGAGAGAACCAATGGACAGACCCTTCCCCAAAGAGCTATGACTTGTGATTTCCTGCTGCATGGGCCAGGCTGGGTCTCGGCGTGGAGTGCAGATGTTTGCTGCTCATCTCAGTGAGAGAGGGGGCTGTGGGGTGTGCCATGGGGGAGCTGCAGCATGTGCTGTGGGAGGCTGTGGTGTGTTTTTGGTACGCCTGTGAACATCCACACTTGTACAGCTGGTTTATAAATCCCCTGCCAGGAGAGGTGGGCTTTCGATGCTCCCGGGCGCCGGCTGGTGGATCTGCCCCAAGGAAACGCTGATCCCAATGGAGCTGAGCGTGTGGCTCTGGCCCAGCCCCTAATCCTGCCTGTCTCTTTGCAGAGAATATGGGACCATTGACGACGTGGACATCGACCTCCACGTCAATATCAGCTTCCTGGATGTAAGTGGCACTGGGGTTCTCAGCGGGTGGTTACATGTGCTCCCGGGCCTCGTTCCCAGCGGCTGAACGGTCCCATGCATGACCCTTCTGCGTGGGTAGGAGCTGGCGGTCACACCCGCTGCCACCGGATGGACAGCTCCCTCTCAGGTTCCAGTACGGTCTCACATTCCCCTGTGGCCGCAGAGATCTGATAAAGCTCTACCCAGCCTTGTACAAACACACCCACTGGTCGGAATGAAAATGCCCCATCTCCAGAGGATTTGTGTTTGCAAAGAGCTTGGGAAATACAAACACGCTCCGTGTTAGATCGTTAGAGTTCCTGGGCTGAATCCAACTGTCCCTACTCAGCGTTTGCTCCCGCCTTACTTGGTAGGCGTAGACGTCTGTTCCCTGTGGAGAATCGGCTCAGGGTCACCGCGCAGGCAGAGGTGGATAATGGGCAGTTAGTGGCAGGTTTTGTGAGTTACCCGGAGGTTTGGGGGCGTGCAGAAGTGGGATCCCAGAGGTGGGGGTCGGGATGCTTTGAGATCTGACATAGCTCAGTGCAGAAGGGCTGTTGGGGAGCACTCAGCCATAGCAGCAGGGAGACGCGGTAGCTCTCCTGCCAGAGAGGCCAAACCATCGCCCTGGAGCATTGACAGGAACAATTGCAGGCCTGTGGCAATGGCCATCAGCACTGTGGCCAGATACCGGGCGCTCTCTGATGCTGCTGCTGGGTGATCGTGCCGATGGGCTAAGGGCACTCAGCCCTTCCCAGGATCAGGCCCTTCTTTGGCTGCCCTCCAGTAAGGAGCGAGAGCCCTCAGGTCTCTCTGCCCTTCCCCAGCTCTGCTCTCTCTGCAGGAGGAGGTGTCGACAGCCTGGAAGGTCCTACGGACCGAACCCATTGTCCTGAGGCTGCGGTTCTCCCTCTCTCAGTACCTGGATGGACCCGGTGAGTGCCAGCCTACGCTGGGGGGACAGAGAGAGTGACAGCAGGGCAGCACCGCACCTTGGCCTCACAATTCATCCTCTGCCCAAGATTCTGTCCCCTGCCCTGCCCACAAGCCGAGGGCTAGCTAGGGAAGAGGGTGATTGGTCGGATGCCCTGCTCTGTAGGGAAAAGCATGGAGAATGCTGAGTCAGACTGGCTCAGGGAAAGGGGGCCTTGAGTCATACGCTGAATAGTCATGGCAACATGAACAGCCACCAGTAGCCTGTCCAGCATCCCGGCCAAGCAAGTGGGTACCCTGGAGGCAGTGTGGGCTAGTGGCTAGAGCACTGGACTGAGCCTTGGGAGACCTGGGCTCTATTCCGAGCTTTGGCCTGCTGGGTGACCTTGGGCAGGTCATGGCCTCGCTCTGTGCCTCAGTTTCCCCATTTTGTAAAACAGGGATAATGAGTCTGCCCTCCGTTGTAATGTGCTTTGCGATTGACTGAGGAAAGATGCTCTGTAAGAGCTCAGTATTATTATCACTACACTGCAGAATCCACTGGGAATAATTAACCACGTGATCCGTGGGCCGCAATTATCCCTGGCACAATTCTGCAGGCTCCAGGGGCAGCTTGGTCCATCTGTCCATCTGTGGTGGGGGTGGCCTATGCAAACCTCCCTGGACTATGGAGTTCCCAGTGGCTATTGAGACTCTGTGGAGAGGCACCTGGACCCATTGCATGGGTATCGGCTCAACCCCCTGGTTTGCAATGACCATCCAGGGCTTCAAGGCTTCCCCGTTTCCAGGCTGTCCAAGGGGATGATGGGAAACAGCCCCCCATGAGACCTGCCAGCCCTTCTCCCTGGCCTAAGAGTCGCAGGGGTTGGGTTCCTTAGGGGTGGGGGTGTCTGTGCTTCCACTCCTCCCAGTCCACTGGAAATTGTGCAGAGCTTCTGAGGCGTCGTGGGGGTTCCCGACCTGGAAATCACCCTTGTGTGGAGCAGCCAGTGGGAAGCCGTATCCTCCGGGATGACAGGTTGGCCAGGGTCAGAGCCTTTGTGGAGGGAATCCATTCAATCTGCCTAAACTTGGGCAGTGTTTTGGCTTTCCCCTCCCTATTTGCGGCACCACAGAGTGCGATCTGGCCCAGTTAACACTCAGCTACCAAGGTGTGTGGACTCCAGGAGCTCTGTAGCTCAGCGCTCAGAGTGTTTGAAATCAAGGAGCGGGATGCCTTAGCCAGTCCCTTGGCTGGGAGACCACTCGGGAAGAGCTATGTGCTGCTGGTGATTCAGTGGGCAGCATTCTGTTCCCTGAGTCAGCCCCTGGCCAGTTGCCCGCAGAGGTCTGGGGGCCTATTTGTGTTTATGGCCCGTTCTGCAAGTGCCCTACGTGGCTCGGTGTGGGTGTGCATGGTCAAGCAGTTGCCATGCTCTGCCCAGCAGGCTGGGCGAAGGCATTCCCGTCTGTGGGTAAAGTGCCCTGGGAGGAGGGGAGCTTGGTATTGATGTTGGCTGACTCTGATCTCTCTGCAGAGCCATCGATCGAGGTTTTCCAGCCATCTAATAAGGAGGGGTTTGGCTTGGGTCTTCAGCTGAAAAAGTAAGGCCAGTGAACTTGTCACCAGGACATGCAGTCGGGGCGTCTTCCCCTAGGCCAGTGCGAGGCTGGGGCCAAAAGGGCTAACGCGAACTTGGGCTGTATAAACAGGGGAGCCACGAGTAGGAGCAGAGAGGTTACTTTGCCTCTGTATCTGGCACTGGTGTGAGTGCTGCTGGATTCTGGGCCCACAGCTCAAGAAGGATGGTGATACACTGGAGAGGGGTCAGAGAAGAGCCATGAAAAGGATTAAAGGATTAGAAAATAGTAACAGATTCCAGGAGCTCCATCTATTTAGCTTAACAAAGAGAATGTTAAAGGGGGACTTGATGACAGGCTATAAGGACCTACATGGGAACAAATACTGGCTAAAGGCCCTTACAGTCGAACAGAGAAAGGTGTAACAAGATCCAATGGCTGGAAGTTGAAGCCAGACAGATGCAGCCTGGAAATAAGATGTTCTTTTCTAACAGTGAGGGGAATGAACTATTGAAACAATTTACCCAGGATTCTCCATCCCTGGTGATTTGTAAACCGAGACTGGCTGTTTGTCTACCAGCCCTGCTCTGGTTCACGTAGGGGTAATTCAGGGATCCCTTGGCCCGGGTTGTAAGGGAGACCACCATGCAAGATGGTCACAATGGTCCCTTCTGGCTTTAGGATGCAGGACTCTGTGAGTGCCTGTTAGTGCAGAAGGGGCAGCAGGTTGTATTTATGTTTATTGGTCTGTATTTCTCACAGGCCTTTTTAATGCCATGAGGAGCCTTAGCCAGGGCTGAAATGCCATGGCATCTGGACTCCTGGGCTCCCATCTCTCAATGACTCCCTGAGGCCAGAATATCCCATGGGAGACAGACATGAGCACAAAGCCCAGGGCACTAGGGTTCCTTTGGATTGCCGAGGGGTTTGCTGGGCGGGAGCCATGGTGCCCTGAGTGACGGATGGCACAGGGGATTGGCAAAGGGTTGTGGTGCCATGCACCTCTGGTCAAATCCAGCCCATGCCGAGTGGAGACTGTCATAGAATATCAGGGTTATAAGGGACCTCAGGAGATCATCTAGTCCAACCCCCTGCTCAAAGCAGGACCAATCCCCAGACAGATTTTTGCCCCAGATCCCGAAATGGCCCCCTCAAGGATTGAACTCACAACCCTGGGTTTAGCAGGCCAATGCTCAAACCACTGAGCTATCCCTCCCCCCTGTCACCATGGAGAGCCATGCGAAATGAGCTGGTGAGCTGCAGTCACTGCTTAGGCCACATGGCCGATGACACTGACTGGCGCCTTGCTGGAGGAATGGGCGAGTGAGGACATAGGCACCGAACTGTCCACTTAGGCTGCGATCCTGCCTGTTCCCGCTGCCCCGGTTCTCCCTGCTACGCCTGTGCTTTGGCCCCTCTTTCTCACAGCCTGCCAAAGCACCTGGCCTGGAGTGATCTCTGCTGCTGGGGCCTTAGACCGCCCCAGGCAGAAGCTGCCAGCTGGGCTGCTCCATGTCACACAGAGGGCCTGGGTCTCCCCTGCCTCCCCCCGTGACAGACCCCTATCCTGAGCTGGGAGGTGGTGGCGCAGGGGAGACCCTGGCCCTTTGGGTTTCGTGATGATCCAATGGGAATTAGACGAGGCCCCTGATCCCCATCAGACCTGACGCCTAGTCACGTTTCAGGTCTGGCGTTTGTGCCCTTCCCTATGGTCTGAGCGCCAGCTGGCTGGCCCCATCCAGCCTCTGAAGTCACCTCTGACTCTTCCCCCCAGGATCCTGGGAATGTTCACGTCCCAGCAATGGAAACACCTCAGCAATGATTTCCTGAAGACCCAGCAGGAGAAGCGGCACAGCTGGTTCAAGTCAAGTGGCACCATCAAGAAATTCCGAGCAGGCCTCAGCATCTTCTCTCCCATCCCCAAGTAAGGCTCCCGCAGATGCCCTGGGACTGTCTCCAGCCCAGCTCCCTCCCCGAGCATGTGTCTCTCTGAACTGTGGTCCCAGGGTCGTCCCCCATCCCGTCGGTTCCCACTCTGCGTTTACCCTGTCAGTGTGCATGTGGTGGGATTCATCGCCCCCCCATGCTGCCTGGTCCTCTCCCATGCCCACATGCTGCCAGGGGAGATTTCATTTGCTGCCTCGTCAGCCCAGGAGCCTCCATGAGCACCGTGCAGGACTGGAGTCACTGCCATGCTCTGTGCTGCAGTTTGCCCACCTGTGCCGGGGTGCTGACTGGGGTGGGGCTGGCGCTGTGTCGGTGCTGTCCCTGATGGTGTCAGGTCTGCCTCTGCTGTGGGGTTCGGGATTTCCTGTGCCAAGCAGGCTGTGCCAGGGCGCTAAAGGCCAGTGAACTGTGAACAAAGCTCAGCCATCCCCTCCTTATTGCTTGGGGGGTGGGTAGAGCTCACCAGTGGCTCCCCAGACCCCGCAGCCAGTGAGTCTTGCAAGAGGGGGAGGCACATGCTGCCTTGGCGGCACTCCCAGCTCCTCTTGGCCCAGGAGCAAGTGACTGGCACTGGGAGCCTCCACAGGGGTGCTGGGGGCACTGATCACCAGGCCCTGGGGCTGGGATCCTTCTTGCTGCTCTCCCCCGCCCCCCCAAGCCAGCACTTTGTGACCCCTGAGCTGTGCTGCTAGCTCTACCTCGCCAGACTGGCACAGGCCTCCAGATGCCGTGCTGCTCTCCCCTTGCCCATACTGCTTTATCCCCCCGCCACCTTCTCCCTGTGTGCTGGCTCTGGCCCCCTGGCGGGCTCATGGCTCCCTCTGTCTCCCCAGGTCTCCCAGCTTCCCCATCATCCAGGACTCCATGCTGAAGGGCAAACTGGGGGTGCCAGAGCTCCGCGTCAATCGCCTTATGAACCGTTCCATCTCCTGCACCATGAAGAACCCCAAGGTGGAGGTGTTCGGCTACCCCCCCAGCACCCAGGCAGGTGTCGCCCCATTCAACATCCTGGTGGGTTTCCTCTGCATCCCCCTGCCTTGGCTCTGGGTGTGTTTTGCTCACACTGACCCTGGAGTGTGCTCCCCATGCTAATGCTCATGCAGGTTTGCCTCCCCCTCTTCCCCACTTCAGCATCTGGGGGATTCCCCTGGGCACAGGCCAGCTCCCCTGCGCGGTCGCCAGGCAGCCTGTTGAAACGAGACCTGTGCAGAATACACTGTGTGTGGCAACAGAGCTCCTGGCCCTGTTGCGAAGCAGCTGGGCAGCTCCAGCAGATCCTGGTGCCAACAGGGATAACGCCAACCTGGTTTGGCCTGGCACCTACACCGCCGGGGGCGTACCACCCATTCCTCCAGCTCTTGTGCTGTGATAGCAGGTGTTATTGCTTGTCAGCACCCCGCTGTTTGGGAGCTGTGAGTCCTCCCTTCTCGCCAGCGGAGCAGCCAGGCCCTGAGTCAGTGTCCTAATGCACCCTCTTCCTGGGGCATGTCTTCACTGGGAACTCAGCAGCAATGATACGATGGGCCCCTCAGCCGAAGCTGCCTCCTGGAGCGTGGCCGTTCTTCCCCCAAGACACAGGCGCTGGCTTTTCTTTCCCCCCGGGGGATGCTCCACCCTCGCTTCACCCCAGGCCCTGCCCCCACTCCACCTCTCTCCACCCTCGCCCCACTTCTTCCTGCCCCACTCCATCCTTTCCCTTGAGGCCCCCGCTGCTTCCTGCTCTCTGCCCTCCCCCAAGTGCCTCCACCAGCTGCTGAACAGCTGATTGGAGGCCCCACCAAACAGCCAATTGGCACCATTGCCAATCAGCTGTGGCCGATGGGTGCTGACCACCCGCTATTTTTTTTCCTGGATGCTTCAGCTCCAGAGCACCCAGAGAGTTAGCGCCTATGTGCCAGGACCTCCTCTGGCTTAGCTCCCTAGTTCTCTTTGCTTGAGAGCCGTTCTCTCCTCCCTTCTGCCGAGGGTGGCGCGAAGCAGGGGCAGTTAGCAGAAGAGCTCTGCCCCAGGACAGGGTCTCAGTGCGCCCTGGCACAGTGCCTGCCGAGCCACCCCAGGTGGATGTCACCCTTTGGAAGGGTGCGGTAAGGTACTGGGGTAGATGAGGGGCAGAGCCCAACATCTTCAGCCATCTGGCACAAGGTCCCACGCAGCAAAGGGGAAGGCGAGCGCAGAGCCCTCTGGGCTGCTCCCCGCTCTGCCAGCCCACGCTGAGGGGCATGGTGGCCTGTGGGCCAGGAATGGAGGATAACGCGGCTGGGTCTGGTTTGTGTGCCCTCTGCAGGTCGGCGGCCATTGCAAGAACATCCCCACACTGGAGTACGGATTTCTTGTCCAGGTAAACCATGGTCGCTAACCGGTGGCCCCTGAGAATGCCTCGCCTGCCCTCTCCTCCTGCTCGCCCCCCTCCAGCCTGGCCCTTTTCACAGGCGGCTGTTGCCCGCTGGGAGAGGCCCAGGTGTCCCGGGCCCTAGAGACAGGGCCTTCTTGTTCTCGACTCTTGTCTTGGCTAGGAGCGGGGTCAAGCTTAGCTACCAGGAGCCAGCTGGGCCGGCCTCAGTTCATTGCCTTTCCCTCGTGTGGATGCAGGGTAACGCCTTGAACTCCATTTCTCTGCTTGACCTTAACTCGGCCGAGCTCCCAGGCGAGACCAGGTCTCAAAGGTCCCGCCTCTGAACCCCTAACGCTCCCCCCAGGTCTGTGGGTTGCAGGGCAGCTTTCTACCCTGCCGTGGGCTGGCAGCATGGGGACTTTGTTCCTCAGAGCTGAGCCAGCAGGGCTGAGCATTTCCAGGCTGACCGTTTGAGGCCTGGGGCAGGGCGCACTGGTCAGCATTCTTCCATCCAGTGCTGGCTGCCGGGAACCCTCCACCTGAGCCATGGTTCCCACATTAACACAGGTATCTGGCCTGACATGCAGCCTCCAGGGAGCGAGCTGGCCATGTGTTCAGCCCTGCTCCATGTGGTACACACCTCCAGGGAGCCGTGATGTGACCCTGTCTAAACAGGGCCAGCTCTGCTGTCTTGCGCCCACCCACACCTGTTCTGATCCTGCCCTTTGAGTTTAGAGGTGGCCTGGTCCTAGCTCAGACAGAGACTCATCCTGGGGAAAGCTCCATGGGAGGTGGTGAATTCTGCCCAGCCAGGTGCCCAGGTCAGCAGGCAGGACAGGACAGAGAAAGCTCAGTGCTAATAAAGGGCCCAGACCTGCCGTTTGCCCCGGGATGGGAAGTGTTGCCTGGCGTGGAGTATGCTCATCCTGTGGCTCGGTGTGGAGGGGGTGGCTTATGCTGGGGTGTGTGGCCCGGAGATGGTCCTGGCTCACTGCGGCCTGGCTGTGCAGATAATGAAGTATGCGGAGCAGCGGATCCCCACCCTGAACGAGTACTGCGTAGTGTGCGACGAGCAGCACGTCTTCCAGAACGGATCCATGCTCAAGGTACAGAGACCTCCAGGCCAGCCTCCCCAGGAGCGCCTTCGTGGTGGGGCTGGTCACCGGGAGGGGCCATGGGGGCAGGTGGAGGCAGGCCAAGTGCTGGTGTCCTTTGGATCGGCTGGCACTGGGAGCGCTCCTCGTTGCCCCTTTGTGCTGCTGGAGTCAGCAAAGGGTGGAGCCCAGGCAGCTGGGGGGGTTTATTAACCTGCCCCAGTAAAGGATGGAAACTGGTAACTTGGAGGTGGGGTAATAAGGCAAGCGAAGAGAAGTGCAGTGATTGGTGGAAGGGGATGTGGGAGGAGCCAGGGCCCTTTAAATTGTGCCCAGTGCCACCCCCCTCGCCGCCTCGCAGGGAGTGGGTGCAGAGGGAGGTTTGCCATGGTTCAGAGTGGCTGTATCTGGCGGCAGCCCTCTGGCAGTGCTGTCTTCCCTCGTCCCATGGGCTGCTATGTGCCAGGGGCACAGCCAGCGATGGGGGGAGGTGGGGTGATCCCAGTCTATGATCACAGGGGTGCTACCAGGAGCCAGCTGGGCTGGCCTTATTGGCCTCCCCTGCCCAGCCCAACTGCCCCCTGGGAAACCCCCCAGTCAGAGAGAGACTGTCCCCACATGCTGGGATCCTAGAGGGTAAGTTCAGCATTGCTCCCTGCCCAGCATCCCGCACCCACAGGCCCCTCTTCACCAATAGCCAGGCCTATGGCGGGGAGTGGGCTTCCCTCCCCCCCACAGCGCAGCAGCTGCATTGTGGTGGTGATGTGTGTGCAGGGGAGCGGAGCGGTACCTGTTCTGCTGCTGCCCCCTGCTGGCTGACTCATAACTAGCATGGGAGCATTAATCACACACCACTTGGCCCCGCCCAGCTGAAGAGAAGGCAACATCCTTAGGTCTGAATCTTGGGGTGCTGAGCACCCCCACCTCAGGCTGAACTCGAAGGAGCTGGTGGTTGCCCTGTATCTCTTCAAATCTGGCCCAAAGAACCTCAGACTGAGGACTTAGCAACCGAGCACCCAAAGTTAGAGGGCATTCTTGAGAACGCTGGCCTCACTGTACCCAGCCTCAGTTTCCCCACCTGTCATAAGGGGATGGCGCCTCCCGGGGAGTATGAGCGCTAATGAGGGAACGTGTGCTGAAGCGCCTTGGATGGCTGGTGCTGGAGCAAGGAGATGGCCTGTTGTTGTGACATGTAGCTGTAGCTGCTTCTGTGTCCAGGAGCCTCGGAGCCATGCGGGAGCTGCATTGCTGGCTTTGACAGAAACGAAAAATATTCCCAGAATGCACCAGGGTCTCTATGGGAACAGGTTCCAGGGGGCAAATGCTGCAGTGTCAGCCCATCTGAGTTGCTAGCATGCCTGGGAGCTGGGGCAGGCTTGCTCCCTGCGGTACCCACTTCTGGCCAATGGTGAATGACTCCAGTGCTGGGGTCAGTGTGGGAGGCTGGGGCATGGGGCTCTCTCTGACCCCCAGTGTCGCTCTCGTCTCCCTGCAGCCGGCTGTGTGCACGCGGGAGCTGTGCGTCTTCTCCTTCTATACCCTGGGGGTGATGTCTGGCGCGGCGGAGGAGGTGGCCACGGGAGCAGAGGTACCAGCACCGAGCGGAGGACATCAGCAGGGGCACAGGCAGAGAGTTGTGGGGCGGGGAACTCTGCGCCCAGGGGAGAGCTGTTAGGGAAGGAGCAGAGTGATGGTGCCGCAGCAATGCCATGGCAGGTGAGAGTCCCTTGGAGCACCTGCTCCCCTGACAGCCCCAGCCCGGAGAGGTGCTGAGCTGATCATCTTGCCCCGACTCGGACAGACCGGATACCTCCTCGCCCCTGATCAGGGCCCTGCTTCCTGGCAGCTGCTGGCTCCGGCAGCCCAGAGCTCCAGGGCTGTATCTCACGTCAGGGCCTGATCTCGTGCTAGGGGCAGTGGTGCTTCCTTCCCGCCCTCCTCCTCCTCTCAGTCACGCTCTCCCCGGCCCAGGTGGTGGACCTGCTTGTGGCCATGTGCCGGGCTGCCCTGGAGTCCCCGCGCAAGAGCATCATCTTCGAGCCGTATCCCTCCGTGGTGGACCCCAGCGATCCCAAAACACTTGCCTTTAACCCCAAGGTAAGCGCCTCATCCCACTGCTGCGAGCAGGGCCCTGGGCCGCTCCTGAGACCATGGCGGCGAGCTCCAGCTGGGGGCGGGACTCCCGCTTGGGAGGGTCACTGAGCTGGGGTGTGGCAGCCTGTCCCTTCTCGCTACAGACCCAGCTGCTGCCGCCTGAGGCAGGGGAGATGCCGATCGCTCTCCTGGGGCTGGGCTGGCTCGGCAGGACCTCGTGTTGCTGTCAATCAAGAAGGCAGTGGTGATCCCAGGCCATTTAAACCCAGACATTTCCGGGTGTGACTACGCTCCAGGGGGAGGAGACGCTACCTGAGCTGGGAGACAGACGTCCTCCTCCTGCCCATTGGGTCCAGGGAGTGGGGCGACTCTGCTCAGGTGCAGGAGTTGGACAGAGGGATGAAGGAATTGCCAGAGCAGATCTGAACAGAGCCCAGGCTCCTGTCTCTGACAGCCACCAGCATCAGTGCTACCAGCCTGCTGTGGCCCAAAGCCAGACTCCTGAGCACCCCTGTGTGAATGGGCGGGGATGGCGTCTGATCCGCCTCCCACTCACCCTGTGGCTGCAGTGCAGTTCCGATTTGCATTGACGCAATGGGGCGGTGAGGCCAGGGGTTCCCTCAACAGGACTGCAGGCTCCCCGGGGAGCTCTGACCCCCGGCATCATGCTGGTGGGGGGGATGGGCAGGAAGGACAGGCCAGGTATGTGCCTGTGTGCGCTGTGCCTGACAGCTGTCTCTTTCCCTTCCCACGCCACAGAAGAAGAACTATGAGCGTCTGCAGAAGGCCCTGGACAGCGTGATGTCAATCCGGGAAATGACCCAGGTACGGTAGCTGGTGCTGCCATCGCTGGGTCTGGCCTCAGAGCAGACCCAAAATCCAGGCCCCTCTCTGATTCTCTCAGCCCATCCTGCCCCTCCACCCTCACCCAACGGGTTGGCTGCTTGTGTCCCATTGCTGCAGAGGAGGTGACATTCTTGACGTTCATTATTACTCATAGGCCCACTGCATTAGAGGTCCCAACCGAGATCCAGGCCCCAGTGTGCTAGGCGCTGCACAGCCCCAGAGGAAGAGCCAGGCTCTTTCCTGAAGAGCTAACAGAGACATGACATCTCCAAGGTCAGGGCCAGGGCTGGGAGTACAGCCTGCTTCTCCTGAGCCCCAGGCCAGAGTCCCAGCCCCTAGTGAGCCAGCGTCCTAGCCACAGGGCACCACTGGTGAGCCAGGTTCGCTTTCCTTTGTCACCCTCCTCTCCCTGTGGAAGGACGCAGGCTGCAGATGCTGGTGACGGAAACCCCAGTGCCCTTGGCGCTCCGACTCAGTTATGTGACTTTCTGACCGAGATGCGCTCCGTGGTGCCCCGTGTCCTGTGCCAGGCCCCAACGTTAGCGCTGCCCTGTTCTTTTCAGGGCTCGTATCTGGAAATCAAGAAGCAGATGGACAAGCTGGACCCTCTGGCACACCCTCTCCTGCAATGGTAAGTGCTCCATGTCCTGCTGGGCTGTGGGAGGGTCAGGGCAGAGGTGGGCAAGGGTCTCAGGATAGATGAGATGCCAGGGGGTAAAAGCACCGGCTCACTGAGGGGATCCAGTTACACTCTCCCCGGGATGAGCAATCTGGGAACAGTGAGGGTTTGAGCTTCCCAGGCAGCACAGAGGCACAGTCCCCAGGGCACGGAGTGTCAGACCCTATGGTTATTAATGTGCAGAAGCATGACCATCTCTCTGGGCCAATATCAGATGTACTGCCCAGCCTCTGGTTCCCCCGTGCCACCATGAGTGGCTAAAAGCTGTGCTGCTTCTCATACAAACAGCCTCTGCTTGGCCCACTAGGGCAGCATGGGTCCCACGGGGGGTGGATGGGCTGGAATTTTGTCATCCTCTCTGGCCCATTGCCAGACACAAAGGCACCAATCCTAAAGGGCTGGAGGAGCCGTGATATCTGCGGATTGGGTGCTGGTTTGAATTGCTTGTGAGCCTTGAAAGGCAACAGTTGAGAGGAAACACTTGTTCTCCCTGAGATCATGTGGCGCGGCTGGTTTGTTTTTCTTTTTTTCTGAAGCTTTCAGGACATCACACTGGATGGGCGGGGTCTGACCTGCCAGGGCAGGGGGCGGGACACCACGCTGGATGGGCTGGGGTCTGACCTG